CAAATGCTTATCAGAATCTTATTGTAAGGGTTTGGAGTCCGTATATTTAGAGATATACAATCTATATACATTCGTGAATACTATGCGTTCTTGCTTCCACTGCCATTGAATTCATTTCACTTAAAATAAAATTTATATTTTTAAATAAGTTTTATGAAACTCACTCTTTTACAATTGTTTATCAGAAAAAAATATTTATATAATATTTCACTTAAAATTAAATACTTGTGGTAATCGAAAAATGCTACAGATAGTGCTTTATATTATTTAAATTTAAATAAAATGCTTTAGCTATACTAAAAATGCATTTATACTAATCAAAAAATGCTTAAAAGCTAATCAAAAAGTTTTTTTTGTTGCTATTTTTATATAAATGCTTAATGAAATCTTATTATAAGGGTCTAGAGCTTATATATTTAGTGAAAAAAAATTTTTTTTGTGTCATATCACTCTAGTATTTTCTATTTTTATTGAGCAGTCAAAAACACTTTATTGCAAATTACGTTCTTACTTTGATTGGCATTTGGTTCATTTTACTTAAAGTAAAATTTATATTTTTAAATAAGTCTTATAAAATCACTTTTTTATAAATGCTTATAAGAAAAAATATCTATAAATATCTATTGTTCAAAATAGCTATTTAAAAGAGTGAGAGAGAATTATATAAACTCTATTTTCATTTCACAAAAAGTTGTTTAATCTTCTCGAAGAAAAAACATTTTGTGATAAATTAAGTTAAAAGACACCAGAAATTGGTTTGAAAGAAATAGAGTGCTCAGGTGTGAACTTTCGACTTTTCTACATTAAGTTAAAATTGATTCCGTTCTTCAAAGTCTAGGCTTTCAATATTTTTGTTAAATCCTAAAGAATGCTTGGAAATATATATATATATTTATATAAAAAGCGTATCTCTTACCTAAATAAGAAAAAACAGTCAATTTATTTCGTCTTTTTACCAATACTCCAAAATAGAGATTGAATTTTTAAAAATATTTTCTAAGAGAGATTTGCTTTTTACATTCGAATTCAATAGCATGACATGTTCTTATCAAGATTTAAAAAAACGATATTTTCTGCATCTGAACAACGCACAAAAAAGCTAAACCGCTTTTAATGTTTTTATTTATTTATATTAACAATAGAAAGAAGTAAGCTCTTTATGCTATAAATATTTAATTTCTTCGTAGTTAAAGATTCTAAAAAAAAGAAGGACGCAAAATTTACTTGCAGTTATTTGTAAACATTTTTTATAAGTTGGAATGTCAATCGATTATTTTTCCAGCTTAGTATAGCAAAGAAGAAAGAACTTTTCAGAATTGATTACAGTAACGATGTGTGATTACTTTGATTTTCATGTTAAAAATGCAAATTATCAAATTTAAACAAGTGCCATGCGAATTTCGATTAGACCGTTTCTTTTTATTCAAGATATTCCGTACGGACCTCTCTTAATGTATACTTTTAGAAACTTAAATTACAGTAACGATGTGTGATTACTTTGATTTTCATGTTAAAAATGCGAATTATCAAATTTAAACAAGTGTCATGCGAATTTCTTTTCGACCATTACTTTTTATTCAAGATATTCCGTACGGACCTCTCTTAATGTATACTTTTAGAAACTTAAGTTACAGTAACGATGTGTGATTACTTTGATTTTCATGTTAAAAATGCGAATTATCAAATTTAAACAAGTGTCATGCGAATTTTGATTCGACCATTACTTTTTATTCAAGATATTCCGTACGGACCTCTCTTAATGTATACTTTTAGAAACTTAAGTAAAAAATTAATCAAAATATTACTGGGGCCGGAAAGTAATGTCGTTTCGGGGTATTAAATATTCCTTAGTCTTAAAAACCGATTCATTTTTTCCCATCCATTTCGATTCATTTTCGATCTGGAATTGAAGGGTTGTTGGTAACGAAGGTGAATACATTATTGATTAAAAATAAAATCTTGATAACTAATGTCCAATGCACCGACACGGTACTACTTTCCGGTCCACCTAATATATAGTTTAGAGGATACAAATTACATTCAAGTGGAGAAATCAACATTAGAAACCGTGAACCCAAAATTGGGTTGGCTGATGAGCGACGGTTTTATATATTTAAGTTAACAGACATTAAGTTAACATTAAGTTTAAGAGACAACCTTAAGAGCATATAGCCTTAAGAGCATATAAAACAGTCTTAGAGCATATTCAGGAATAAAGGGAATGATACATTAAAATACTAAACATTTCTCCTTTCAACAAATATGCACAATGGATTTCAATGTTTAAACAACACACAAATCACCAAAGAATTTAATTTCATTGTAAGGAATAATTCCATGTAAAATGTGTTTTGTACTTATTTGAAAATGATAGTTACTATATACATAAAATATTTAGTGCAAATACTCTGCAATATATATTCTAAACTAATTGCGCTTGCCCACGGCTCAGATTACTCAGTTAATTCAGAACATGCATATTTAAAGGTGAGGTTTGACTTGTGTAATAGCCTCTTCTACTCAATTATAATTATTCAGTGATTTCGCCTAACAACCGCGATGTTTGCGTGCTTTTTGCGCAACGCATTAAAATAAAAAACAATCACCGGTTATCTATACAGTAAGAACTGTGGTGTAATATTTATCCGAACATGATGTTGAACAACACTGAAATATTCTGTGAAGGAATCCTTTATTCCGGGTTAGCATCAAATAAAGAGTTCGTATACATTTTTAAAAGTGTAATTTAAATCTAATCACCCAAATTAGCTTACACCAAATTATCGTCTTGTTCACACAAAGCAGGAAATATTTTCCTTTCCAAAAAAAAAAAAAAAAAAAAAAAAAAAAAAAANAAAAAAAAAAAAAAAAAACCCGACGTGTTGGCGCGCTTTTTTCATCGCCAGAAATAAGCATTTGTAATCGAGAATTAGTTGCTGTTAGTGATTTGTCGTGATTTAGTTGAATAATTTGTTTTTCGTCGTTAAAATATGAATGCATGTTTTTAGTTGTGTAATAAAGGTAATTTTATTTAGTTTTTTAAATCACTGTGAACTGTATTAACGAATTTTACCCTGTAAGATTTCTACTAGCTTATATTCTCTCAAGCCTTGATCGAGTTCTTCTTTATGTTCTCTGTGTGCTACTCGCATGTTTGATGTACAAAGTGATTATTTTGAAAATTAATGCATGTATCATTCTAAATTAATGATTCTTACTTTATATTATATCGTAATAACGCATTTACTGACTCTTATGTGTATATTATCTTATATAATTATAAAGTTTAGTGCTATCGAATGCAAAAAATGACGGAGGCTACTTTGCACCAAGTAGTGTAATAGAACATACGTAGTGTAGTGGTACCACTACTTTATACCACTTTGGTATAAAGTAGTTACCACCATTCCTTGGTGCTAAGAAACACACGAATGTTTTATAATGTGTATAGCTTTCACAGAACATAGTTAACTGAATGAAAGTCCCATCTGAAAGCCCTATATATCTCTAATATTGTAAGATTATTGTATATCTCTAATATTGTAAGATTTAGCTCCCATATCATTTTGCTTATTCACGTACATATATCCAGAGCTAACTGCTCATGGTGGCGATACGGAGTCCCCAAACTGCATCCACTTAGTTATTTAAGAACATATTCACGGAAAGGAAAGAATGATTCACCAAAGCTCTGAAATTTTCCCGTTTTACTAAAATTGTATTATAGACATTTACGAAGCAGTAAATATCGGTTGTGAATTTTAGTCATGTAATACATTAGCAACTGCTACCGCAGACAGTGTATTCTTTTTGAATAGGCATACTTTACTTCTTTGTTGTTTAAAAAATAATGGTAGCTATAAATTATTAAACGTTTAGAAGCAAATAGTTTTACATTTCTAGTTGTTTGTAACATTTTTTGATTAAGTTTTGCTGGACAGGGTTGAAACGACGCACAAAGCCATGGAGTACTTAATTGTATAGTAAAATGTAATAATATAGGGTAATTCAAAATGAATATAGCGATTACATACAGCTATAACTATTTAATAAAAAATATTTTCATATATAAGATTAACATAGAATGTAGATGTAACTTCAAATTCTCGTCTACGTAATGCGCAGGTGCAGTGGAGTGGAATCCTGCGCATGCGCGAGTTCATTAGTGAAAATGGTGAGTCCCGTGCAGAAAGCATTCTTCATGTTGGAATTTAGGAAGGTTAACCGGCACAACAGTCGAATATGGGGTACGAGGAAGTCTTCCATTGCTATTGCACATGAACGTGACTTGGCGAAAGTTAATATGTTCTGCGCGATCTTATCACGCAAATTGTACGAACCTTTTTTCTTCTGTGAGCGAAGTGTTACCTAAAATGTATATCTCAACATGCTTAAGGTATGGTTGCTGCAAAATGTAATCCGTAGATACTAATTCTACGAATTACATTTTGCAGCAAGATGGAGCACCCTCACTCTAGGGTACGATGGTTCATACATTTTTAAATCGAAATATTCCAAACAGTTGGATCGGACGAAGTGGAGATGTCAACGATGTCTTCTCTTGGCCTCCGAGATCTCCGGGATTGACACCCTGTGATTCCTATCTATGGGGTTATGTGAAAGACCAATATATATGCGTTATATGCAATATAAGATATATGGTTCTCATGCCCAAAACAATTGAAAAACTCAAAGAATGCATTTGTAATATGCTTGCGTCGATAATATGCGTCAGAATGTATGGCGTGAAACGGATTACCGTCTAGATGTTGTCAGTGTGACCAAGGAAAATCACATAGAAAATTTGCAACGCATGTATACAAAATTTTGAAGTTCCTTTCAGATTCTGTGTATATTTTATCGATGAAATTCCTTTATATTAAATAGTTATAGCCGTTTGTAATCGCTATATTCATTTTGAATTACCCAGTATACAAAATGTGTTAATTTGTACTTATTTAAAAAATGATAGCTATAATACGAATGAAATACAGTACAAATGGTGTAACAAACCTTTTTACTAAGTAGACAAAATTCAACATATACCATGATATAAAGTATGACTACTGTTAACAAAGAATTTTAACACATGTCACTTTTACAATTAAATTTTTGAACATAATAATATTGTCTATTTCACGTAAATGTTAAATTGCGAATGTTATTTTTCAGCTTACAACATTCCTTATTACATAGAGCTTATCATTTTCACATAGAAGATGGGTATAACTCGGACACTGGAAATATAATATATATATAGAGATATATATTAACTATAAACATTAATATAAATAAATTTTGATTGGGAAAAACGACAGGAAAATGCCTTTTTTCAAGGAATACATATTGATGATGTGTGAGGTTAGAAGCATGTACAAAAAATTAATACACATTGCAAACACAGAATATTACGTCTTGTGTTTAAATAAATGACAAATATAAAATAAATTTGTCTATAGGAAATATAATGTTCTAATATTCTTTTTTTTTCTTTAAAAAAAAAAACTTAGACGAAAATTATTTTGCGTAGAAAAATTTAAGTTAGAAATAATTGTGAGAGAAATGAATAAAAGTTATTTTAAAACATAATTTTATACTTTGTTAAACATACTTTAATTGTTTAAATAGAGACGACTTAATTACATTTTAGAAAAAAAAAACAGTAGTAAATTTTGATATTTCTCTGGATAAAATAATTAGTGACAACATACATACTTAAATTGTTTTAACAGAGACAACATAATTAATTTTTTTGAAAAAAAGAACAATAGAAAATTTTGGGATTGCCTTAGAGAAAATAATTAGTGACAACATACGTACTTAAATTGTTTTAATAGAGATAGCGTAATTGCTTTTTTGAAAAAAAAACAATCGAACATTTTGAGAATACTTTAATTGTTAGTAACAACATACATACTTTAATTGTTTTAATAGAGACAACATAATTACTTTTTCGAAGAAAATAGAAAATTTTGATATTATTTTAGAGAAAATAATAAGTGACAAATTTTCTAGTTAAGTGCAGTGATTTCCTATTAAAATTCTAAATTTTGTGCGCTAATAACAAGTGCTAGCACAAAATATTTATTTTCTATTTCATTAAATTATATATTTTTTAAATCTAAATTTTACCATTCTCGGGATGCTATAGGCCAAATTACACAAAATAGACTTCCTTACTAATTAACAAAAATAATTTCCTTAGCAAATGTAAGGGACTAATTATAGCCTCTAACTGAGGACAAGAAATTGTAAGGAAAGAATTATTCTACGACACCTAAATTAACAATTTTGTAAAAAAATAATTTTACACAATTTTACTCAAAATGAATATCAGATCTATTACTACATACCGCAATAAATACTTTGCTTAAATGTGAGTGCTAAGTTGCAAAATTATTTCTCAGTTGATGGAATTTCGTTTTCTGAAAACTGTGTAATTTTCTACCAGAAGAAAAATTTTGCTTGGAGCTCTTTTCTTTCAGATGGCAAAATACAGACGGATTTCATAAATAGTTTACAAAAATGTATTTTTATACAGTAATAATATGTAAAGTCCTTTTTAGAGAAATTCAAAATCATTTCAGGTATTAGAAAAAAATCCCTATAGGTAAAAACAAATAAATATTATATGGATAGTCAAAGTTAATAAGTAGTTGATAAATATAGATCTATATTAATAAATTATTTATAAAAGAAATTTTTTAAAAGACACAAATTTACAACAATCATTTGATAAAAACACTAATTTTTGTTCGTTTTCTTTGAGAAAATTTATAGTTTAAAAATTCACTAAATTTAGTATAAATTTCAAAATACGAATGTATAATAATCATTAATAGCTGCTGTGGATATGATATTGTTTGGTCATCAGTGCTTAGTTTTATTTACAAATAAAAACTTTATAAATAATAGGAAGTTAAAGTGTTATAATAAATTATGTATATTTCTCACATTAACTTTTGGATTAATTTTAATTTGTAAATTTGATTATATAAATTATTATTTTGTATAATGATATATTATGCTTTTTGGGGTAAAGAAAAGCGAATTAAACAGCAGCAGTTGGTTAGAAAGTGTGCAAGAATGATAAAGTGCACAAAAAGATGCTGTATAGCTAGGTAAAGATTTGTTAAAGTGCTACAGAAAGACGGTGTGACTCTTTACGACTAATATGGGAATGAGAATGTCGTACGACACTTTTTGGTGTAATAACACTGACTTATTCACTTTCACAGCACAAACATGATTTTTTACAGTGAAAATGGTATTCTATCAGTTGGCAAGCTGGTCTACAGCATTAGTTATAAATAGAAATAGCAGTTGGCGTTTGTGATTTATATTTTTAAGTTTGTCTATGCTCACACAATAAAAGGCAGATAGAAATATGTTTAGATATTTTCTCGACGTTTATGCAAATACTTTCAAAGAAAAATAACAATCATCAGTTAGCACAAAGATGAAAATGAATTCGTTAGATTACCTTCCAGAGAATTCGCTTTACAACATTCAATTAAGTTATTAGTCATTCAACATTTTACATTCTCAGACTTTTAAATATACTTACATGGTATCACATGAGCTTTATATAATTTCAACATTAAGTACTTTAATACTAAATGTTTTTTTTTCTTCTAAGACAGCTATATTGAATTTTTTCCTTTTATAGATACAATAGGAAAAACAGGAAGTGTAGGATCCGAAAAATACTGTTTAAATAGTCAATGTTCATATGTTTGTGGAAGTATGAGAATTATTTTCAGCGATGAAACAATTACGTTGACATAAATATTCTTTGGAAACACAGAACTTGACACAATGAAACTAGAAATATTTTTTTTTTCAGAATGAAAAAAAAGAGAACAGCAGTATGCATCGTAAAATGCATTAAAATACACATACCATCAGCTGAGTGTTTTTGTGCTGAATGTTAAGTCTCTACAGAAGAGGGATTGGCACAGGGCAGAAATGGCAAATAACAAATGATATTATAAACCGCCTAAAGAGAACTTCTTAATACTTCTTGAGGAACCACAGAGGTATCAAGACTTAAGAAACGTTCTTGTGTACATTTCTAACTTCCGACTTTCCTGTCCGTTCTCAAAAAAGATCTGTATATCATCTTGATATGTCAAGACCCATACTTACAGCCATAAAAGCTGTCGTAAGAAAAGATTATAAGTAGTACAATCACTTAAAAGCCTTCAATTATATCATAGGCTTCCAAGCTGGACATGACAACGTAGAAAAGCCACAAACAGACAAACAGGATGGTTGTTGGTAGTTTATACCTCATTGGTCCGCCAAGTTCTCCACCCACGCGCTTATTGCGACGCATTAACAAGACGATGCAAGATATTAAGGCGCAACTGCAGAACATGGTTACAGAGAAAGCTAGACTTCCAGGTTCAACTTTAAATTGTGTTCCTCGGCTGTAGTGCACTATAGCGGCAATGGACCAAGCAATTCCTATACCTAAAAATACATTGACTGCATTGCTTCCAGTAACATTTCCGATTGAAGAATCTGCGTACTTGTCTTGAATTGCTGCTACTTTGCTAGCAAAAGTATCTGTAAAAGAAAGATAGAAGATTAGGAAAATAGTGAATATCAGAAAAGTAGAAACACATCCTACACAGAATGAAAGATAATGTTATACAGGATGGTTATAATTAAAGTTCCACGTTGAAATGGTCTTTGAAAAATATTGAACCAAATGTTATTCAACGCAGTAATAGTTTGTCATGAGAATTTATTTTCTGGCATTGAAAGCTTAAAAAATTACCACTAGGGTGAAAATGGCGCTGTATGCAATATTGTAAACCAAAATAAACATCGGAGTCTAACTTATTTCAAAAGCACTGCTTACGGTTATCTCAAAAACACCGTTTATGGTAATAATGTTGTAAAAATTTCACGGAGTTGAAAGATGTAATGCAAAAACATGTCTGTAAGATTCCTTTTGCTATTCTACGAGCTACTGTCGAGAAAGCAGAAATACGACTTAACTTGCGTTCGAAAAATGTTGGCTGCAACACAGAACGTGTTTTGCAACTTGTTTCAGAAACGATTAAATATTTTTTAAACCGGTGTCCTCATTTCTTATTTAATTTAATAATATTTTGGAAGTAGGGTGAAAATATTTCTTTTTGGCGGAAAATAAATTCCGATGGCCTTCTATGAACTATTGCCAAGTTCCATTACATTTTGTCAAGTAGTTTTCTTTTTATGACCATTTCAAAGTGGAACTTTAATTATAATCACCCTGTATTGCGTATTTTGATTGCTTCGATTATGATATCAATTATTGTGATTTCTCTTTGTTGCTTATTAATTCTAATTCTATATTCCCGATAGTAGAATTTACGATGTGAATCTGCAGCATTATCTTAACCCAAATTCGCCTGTGACCTCAATGCATTCAAGCAAAGCTATTATAAAAATTCAACTTATTCTATTAATTATGCATGCAACAAAATTTGTAAATATAAAGTCTTTAAAATTTATGCGTAAAAACTTTGTTGTTTAGATTTTTTGCAATACTGAAATAATAAAATGGAATAAATGCGTATAGATTTCAGTATATAATCCAGGAACAGAGGTAAAGTCTTTACTACTTGTACTTGGCAGTGTTCTCCTAACTCTCATTGAAAACAAAAAGGTGCAATTTTTATTCGTTCATTTTCAAATCTGGTAACATAAACAGAAGTCTGTGCACAATATTTCAGAAAAAAAAATAATGATTGGTTTTAAAGTTATAGCTAAAAGAGAGGTTTTTAATTGTTAATAATTAAAAAGTTCCTTGTGAACGAATTATAATTTTTTAAATTAGTTTCTTACTTTAAAATCTTATTTATAGGTATTGAAATAAATATAAGTGGTTATGGTAACTGTGTAAAAATATAACGTACCTAAGCATTAAATTTTTATTTTGTCACTAAAAATGTCTTCGATAAATACACTTCAATATGTTTGTTCAATTATTAAAATATTAAATTAAGTTAATCAAAGCATTTAAAATTAAAGAATAGACATCAAAAATAAGTTAAAAAATTTTATGACAATAAAATAAAAATTGGTTATCTAGGAGTTTTTTGAAATTGTGAGAACATTGAAAAATTCCATTACAAGAAAAAGCAACTTCGTCAGCGTGAACTACACATTGATGTATTGACCTTTAAAAATTCATAATTTTATAATTCGGTAACGAAAACTCCGATTTTAACATGGTTTGTTGCACATTACTTATTAAATCGCGAATTCTTCTAAAAACTATCAAAACCAAATGATGATTTTTTTTTCAAAGATTCTCTCATTCTGAACGTCTAGTGTCCCCTGAACTCAGTGTTTTAATTGTTATTGGAAACAAGTTTAAAGATATTTTAAAAACGATTCTCAGCAATTTTTCCGCATTCGTTTTTTTAAATAAAAAAGTAAAATGATATGGTGCAGATGAATGTGTAGATGTATCCTTGAATAATTTGCAGCGCCCTCTGCCATGCGGGAAAGTTTCTGTTACGAGGTATATAGCTAGTTTAGGATGTTTTGATTGTTTGATCCAAAATTTTCAAAAGTGCTTTAAGTTCAAGAATATTTATGCAAGAAATAGTGTTTGCTAATCGCTTGCTTAAAATTAATTGCTAAGCAGTGAAGGATGAAGTGGTGCAGAAGATTACTGACGATCTTCACGTTGTTGTTCTTGTTTCTAATGCCACTTGCCATTATCTGCTTGGTGAAATCAATCGAATTTAAGGCAGATGGTGCGCTTATTCTCTTTCAATTGTGCCATATATGGCCAAGAATACGATATCAAGCAAATACACGTAACAGCCAGTTCATAGAGCGGGCACGTTCATACATCCATTCATTCATCCACAGATCGTAATTTTTGCCTGAACCAGAGAACGATCAATCTCCGATTCAGTACCCCCAGAGGTATAATTTGATATGGAAACATTGGAGACTTTTGTGACCTAACTGATTTTAACGAGTACCAGTCACCATTTACTACACGGGAAGTCTTAGACCGGTGGAGATTGAACCCAAGACCATTTGCACATGGGCAGAACGCCCTACCAACCAGGCTATCCCGTCCCGGTGATCTTCATAATCTTATTTAGATACAAATAAACAATTTCCGTAACTTCGAGTCTCCCAATACAAAGTACGTGCATGCTGAAGGCTTCAATTTCTATAATTTAAAAATATTATCCAGAAACTTCTTCCATTTAATTTTTTTTCCAGTTTGCAAATGTATTAAAGTAATTTGTTTCAAAAACCATGCATGTTTATCTTCCAATTAAATTTTTAAAAAAATATTTTTTAAATTTAATATTTAAAATTTTTTTTAAATTTAATATTTAAAATTTTTTTTAAAATCAGAATATATAATAAACTATGATGCTTAGCTCAAAATAATTTGAAACTTAATATTATAGTTCTGACGATGAGAATAATCACCAGACATTTCAGAAACGGAAATGAAACATATAAAAACGCTAAGATTTAGAAAAGCAAACATTTTTCAGCTTTAAGGAGTAAAAAATACTCTGAATTTTTTTAACGTTTTGTGATTTTCAAATCTAATACATATTTCATACTATCGAAATCATTTGTGCTGTATAAGCTATAATGGTCATTTTTATATATCATTTAAAGGTCATAAATTTTACCTGGAACACTTGTTCCTAGAGCTACCAGAGCAACAGCAGTTACTGTGTCCTTAAGTCCCACTGTGCAGCCAAAATGAGACGCTAAATCTCCAATAACTGCAGTTAAAAGACCAATTCCTATTATTGAAACAACAAAGCATAACCATCCATCTAACATATCTGTAAAAAAATATTTTTGTTATGGTAAAAACATCATAATTTAACAACTTAAAACACTAATAACACATTTTATGTTTAAAATTTAAGTAAGAACTGTTTAGAAATAAAAACTAAACGAAAGGAAATTTTCATGAAGCAAATTTATTTTTTAATTCTACACACGGTTCTCTTTTCTCTTCAAAATAGTTGTAAAGTTTTCTTAAACACTTATCATACCTTACAACTAGATTTACAATATCCTGTTCATGGTATCTTGTTGCCTGCTCCGATAACCAAGAAATCATGTTCGTTTTCACTTCTTCGTCATCGTTGTACTGATTGCAGCCAAAATGATGTCTGAAACACCGGGGAAAAGATTTAAATCACTTAGCGCAAGGTCCGGTCTGTATTTGGAGTGGTCCAAAACTTCCCAGCCAAAAGAGTCCTAAAATGCTCGGGACTGACAGTGGTGAGAGTCATTGACACGGAGTAGCTAAATTTCCTGTCAGCATTACAGTAGGAAGCTTAGATCTGTCGGTTAATGTTCAAATTTGCCGGTGAATGTCTACAGCAGACAGGTTTTTTGTCCACTAAAACGCATCAAAATTTGTTAAATTTGAACATTTTAAAGAACTGACAGTACAGATTGTCTACACAGCTATAACTGAGCACATTTGTTCCAAAGGAATGCTAGGACAGACGACATAAGCACTCGTTGCGACTCACGCGTAACCTTTTAGTGTACGCAACAAAATGGCGCTTACTTAAAAAACAGACCTCGTATTAGCGTACAATTTTTTCTGAACTTCAGTAAAGTGTCAAATTTAGTAACATTTGATTACATGATATTATACGCTTTATTTATAATAAAAAACGGATTAGTTTAATACGTTGATGAGATAGTAGCAAATTTATTTGGTATTATGATGTATATACAGATGATCACAAATTATGAGATAAAATGCACATTTACTATACATGAGTACTTTTTATTATGGATGCAGTACCAGCATGATACGTCCATAGATATTAAGTGTTCACTGTCAAAGATAAGAAATTAGGTTGACTTCTAATTCCGGTGCTTTGGTACGTGAAAGAAAGATTTTGACGCTTCCACGCCATTTCTCTTACCAGCTTAATTAGATCCCCACTGCGCATGCGTGAAACAGTTATTGACCGACAGGAGATTGCGCAGTTGCTATCAATTTAAGAGGAAAAAAGCTGATTGGTTAAAGAGAGGGAAAAATCTCTAATATTTACTAATATTTTGCTAATATTTAATTATTACTAATATTTAATATTTAAATATTTACTAATATTTAAACTGTTTATCTAACTAGTTAGTGAATTTAATATTATTTTATATTACTGATCTTAAATTTAATATTAAAGATAATTTAATTTTATAAATTAAAATTTTTTTATTAAAATAGTTAAGAAAATTTAATACATTTAATTTAATATATTAGCAATATCCTTAGCAGTTTAGAAGTTGCATTTGTAAATCTAATAAACAAATCTGGTTGTTTCAGCTTCTTTTTCGAAAAAATGTTAAGAGCATGGAAACATTTTTTCAACATTAGGTTTATTTCGAAACCAAAGTAGCAATAAATGAATTTTATTTTTCATTAACTCAAATTTCTGTTAATTGAATAGTGGTTTCTTAATTAATACTATTCTATAACTAAATAAATAACTAGAAATAAAAGCCAATTAATCCTCTTAACTAATTTCTTTTTCTTTTCAACAATTCGATCCACTTCCTAAGAGCTTAATTATATTATTTAAAATGTTAATATCTTATAATTACAATAATTGGTTTTTAGTCAATTTTACTACATACAACATCTTTAAAACAAAAAAAATTGCAAAAATAATTAATGAATAAATAGAAAAGGAACAATGTTATAAAGAATCAAAAGTATAAATAAACTTAACTTTTATAAATTTTTATTAAGTTATTATTCTTATTATTTGCTAAATTAAAGTAAACATAAGTTATAATTTTGTTTTGTATTTTTAATTAAAATGTATTACAACAAGGAGAAATAACGTTACTTTTCTCTAGTGTCAACACGCTAATTAAGATATTTACTCTTTCATTGCACGAAAGAATATGATTCTTCTGTTTAACTAGTAGTGTATATAAAAGTAAATATTTCACGCGAAATTGTAATTAGTCGAATAAAATTTTAGCATTTCAATAACTAAGCTAAAAGCCAATAAAACTAATTATTTGAGAAGAAAAATAAACTATAAGGAATTGAAGCTAGTTTTAAACGGAAGAAAGAAATTTTAGAAAAAAAATCACATTCCAATTAACAGTATAATTTATAAACATTATTGTAATCTAAAATTACTAAAAGTTATTATGCGAATCAGATGTATTAGAATAAAGATTTTTTTTTTGTTGAAAATTATGTATTTTTTTTTCTTCTTTTTCTTTAACTTTGGAAATTCTGAGATGGTTAAATGCCACAAATATTAAAAATAGTAGCGAATTTATAAATAAATTAATTATATATTTCAAACCTTTTTAGAAAAATCAAATTATGCTTTTTTTTTTTAAGAAAAAAATGTGACTGAATGCAGTAAAACACTTATGTTTTGCTTAAACAGACCATATGTTATTATGTATGTTAAGCTTGATTAAATTATGCAGTAATCTTAAATGTTTGAGATAGTGAGTCATTTCGAAATTGAAAAATTATAAAAAAGCTCATATGATTGCTCCTTGTAGTATCTAGAGTTGCTGTAAAAAATCTAATGTTACCCCCGAAAAAGTATGAAATTTAGTTTTTTTTTTAAACGAGGATGAAGAGGATATATTCAAGTAAGAGGAAATATTGAATAGTATTTTTCGGACACTACAAAATCAAATTCAATATTTCGATCAATTCTATTTTATAACGATAGCTGAACAGCCAACCCAATTTTGAGTTGACGACTACAAATGTTCAACTCTGTAGCCTTGCAATTTTGAACCCAGTTCAGAAGACAAGGGAGCTCTGAAATCAATTATTGCAAGAAATTTGCTTTCGCTCAGGATTTTTTGATGGAACTAACCCGCATTTGTGTTACATGGAGAAGAAAACCACTAAAACCTCCCAAGGTTAGCCTGACAGAGTGCTCTATCCTCTGAGCCGCCACGGCTCTATTTCGATCAATTTCAATTTATTGGGGTGTTCGTTGTAGCCTTGAGATGTAACAAAATTTTTTTTCGAAGGCCTAATTTCAAACATCCCTTACAGGCGCTCACCATCCCATGTGTTCTGTCTTGTAATTCATGCAAAATTTTATTATATGTTATTAGAAAATGGTGTTAATTGTACAAATTATGTCAGAAAAAATAGAACAAAATACTTTTTAGAATATATTGTAACAGTGTTACTTTTTCAGTAAGAACGTACAGAGTGACCATTTAAGTTCGCTACTACCGACAATCTTTTTAAATTTTGAGCTGCTGTTGCTAAAGTTAGTAAAATGATATATAGGTGAAGTAAAGGCTATGCGCTACAAAATGAGATCGCTTACAGTGCAAGCTGGAGGAAAACTGTCTAATTAGCGTTTATATCTCTAAAACAGCTCAAGATGTGAGTAAAAAGGAATTTTATAGGTGTAGATATTTTTTGATTTGATTAAGATTATGCACTCTGTGGACAGTGAGGCTAAGTAAGTAACGCTAAAAATTAGCCTTTGTTTTGGAATTTCCTAAACTGTGACATGATTGAACTGTCTTAAAAAATAATGCATCCTCTATCAATGTGTAAATCTTTAGAAAAATTTGAAAGTAAAGGAATCTTGTGTAAGCTGGTTGGTTAGTATTTTTTGTTGAAAAAAATCGTTCAAGTGTCAATGTTGGAAATTCCGAAGGATGAATTACGGTTACGAATCTGTGTTTTTTTTTCTTAGCACTAATATCCACAAAGTGTCTGTTTGTACAAAATTGATGAAATTCTACAACCTCGTAATTTACTTTTTCTCCAAATCGCGTGCTGTTTTCCAATTAAGAATGCTTATTCCTGCCAGGTGGAGCAGTAAATAAATTGATATTGTTCCGTACAGCCACTTTATTATACCTAGACATCACTCTTGTTACAATCGTTCAAAAAGTGAAGGGATGGTTAGGGATTATGGATGTCAATCTGTAGTTTAGTGCAATATTTTTACCCCTTAGGGATGGGTGATTCATAAAAGTATTTTTGCAATATCAAGATGAGAAAAAAATAAAAAAATGGTACATTAAATATGGGCATTGCTAATTTGACGGAATTGTTTTGCTTTTATATTAATTATTATTAATCTAGTCCCATATCTAGTAAATATTAGCTCAAAGTGTAAATATATAATTTTAGTTTCGAACAAAGTAGTGGGGAATTTAATAAATCTAACTATTATAACCCCGCCCACAAATAAACGTCTGAAGAGTTTAGCTATCAGTTTTATCTTTTTATCATGATTGATAAAATTTTTCGTTCGCACGTATTCATGACAGCCGGAGCGAGTAAAGGGTTGATCAATCCAGTAATATATTTTTGATATAAGAAAATGTGGATGGTTTTAGACAATCATTTAGGCTTATTGAATAGTATGATATTTTTTAATTTAAAAAAAATAAAAATTATGTTCATAAAAAATTATAAGGATAAAAAAGTAGTTATATTTAAAAGTGGAAAATAGAAAAATGACAGAGAATTCTAATTTTCAATCAATGTTAACTTTCTGAGAAGTCAAACATAAACTGAACAATAAGTTAAACAAATAACGTTTCTCATAATTTAAATTGTTTTACGTTGTTGTTGAAGATATCTTTCTACTTTTGGAATACCTTTAAAGCAGCATATATCTAAAAATAAAATTTAAGTCTTTATTGATTAGAAATATAACCAATGCTTTTAAGAATACAGCTTTAAGATAAAATCACTTTTTTTCTGTATTTTAAATAAAATATAAAACCAGAAAAAGGGACATGAAAAATTAATTACTAGCTTAATTTTCTAAAAAGAATTCGATTTTTATTTATGTTCATTTTTAATTCTTTAAATATGTCGCGAATTTCTTAGTTTAGCATTCTTACTTTAAATTTTTTTCTTAAACATCTTTTTACCCTTGAATAGCTGGATACATGAAAAGAGTCTTTCTTAACATATTGGCTTAAAATGCAACATTTTCGTTTCTTTATGTATTTTATTAGAATTTTTTTTTTTAATTTTTGAAAATTCTCCACTTACCGGCTGGTGGAATGAAAGCGAAGATCAATTTCCAGAAGAGGGTTATGAAATGCATGACGTAGTCAGAGCACGTTGGTAGTTTCGGTTCCTTCTCGACCCTTTCTTCTCCTTCTTCCTCTTCATCATCATCATCATCGTCATCCCCTTTGAACATAAATTAATTTTTTTTGCAATTAATTTTTGAAAAAAAAAACTCATTTACCATATCTTGAAAAATGTACTTTGTGGTTCAATACCTGCGCTTACTGTAATGGCTTCGATGAACTGCTCTTTCCATGAGGATGTGCCAATCGATAAGGATACGTTTGCTTTTTGGAATAATTTGTCAACAGTGTTCTGAAAAATAATAATAGAAATAAAAATGATTTGCAGTAGGTAGTAGGGGGACCGGAAAGTAATGTCGTTTCGACTCATTAAATATTCTTTATTCTTAAAAAACCAATTTATTTTTTCGATCCATTTCGATTCATTTTAGATCCGACATTGAAAGGTTATTGCTAACGAGGGTGAATACATTAATGATTAAAAATAAAATCTTGATAGAAATATCAAATGAACTGAGACGACATTACTTTCCAGTCCCCTTAATACATTAAAAACTTGATCTATTTTTTTAAAAAAAATGTTCAAGATGAGTATTATTGTTTTCTTGCTGAAAAATACTATCGTTTCCAAGACAATAAGATACTTCTGGGAAATACTACTGTAAAAGGTAGAAAAATGACATTACTTTGTTAAAAAACAACATTAAACAAATTCAAGCATGGCTGCATTCGGTATGTAACCTTAGAAACCATGAAAGTTTATTTTTATTTTAAAAAAGAGAAGCCCTTTACAGACAAAAGGAAAACACCCTTTTTTTTGTGCCTTTATTATATATATATTAAGCGTATTACTTATAAATTAATGCATATTGAACTGTAAAAATAGTTTTTTATTGTTTAATGGAAATTCAGAAATAGTGCTTTTATAAAGTTCAATTGCTGTCACAATTTAAATAAAAAAAATAGTGTCCTATAGCTGTCTAACATTTAAAAAATACAAATAAATTTTTACCATATATTTTAGTAAATATTACTACTCATGTTGCGTTTGTTACTACATTGGTTTCTTGTTATATAAAATTTATATTTCGAGATTAATTTTCATGTGGAAATCTGATAGCCACTGATTTTCTTTCTGATCTTTTTTTTCTTCTCAATAGTACTATTCCAACATATTAGGTCATTTTTATGAAAATTGACATTCTTTTTCGTTTACGTAATTCGCATTTTTATTCGGTTAGTTAAATTTAAGCATCCAATTTCGTTATTAGTTTTTTTCGTTAATATTATTATATTTATTTTATATATTTTCATTTATTCTATATTTTAATACTTACTGACAATAGATTAGAAGAAACATCAGTGTTTGGAGTATCGGGCAAATATATACCGGACAATGGCACTTGACCTTAAAAAAACATCAGTGTAGGGTATACCGGGCAAATGTATACCGGGTAGTGGCACTTAACCTTAAAAAAACATCAGTGTAGGGTATACCGGGCAGTGGCACTTAACCTTAAAAAAACATCAGTGTAGGGTTAAAATATCGAATAAATGTAATTATATCCACGAATAAATTCATATCAAATCGAATGTAATAAATATTTCGGACATTCACCAAAGCATATCTGTGATTGTCGACTTACACCTGTGAGGGTCCGATTGTACAAGAATGTAATGAAATATTCGATCTTTCACCGACGTATTTGGTGTTTGTCGACATTCACCGGTGAAAGTCAACAACCACCGATTTTGGTCCTTCGCCGTGACATATATATACGTAATATGTTGGAATTGAGTGAAAAAACGGTCACCAAATATAACACACTTCGGATTTTTTATTTAGAAATTGTAGTAAGCTACAAAATGTACTAAAATTCTTTTTTCACACTTAGAACTGTATATTAAGAAATTAAGAAATATTATAAAAATTATTTTTAAATTTATGAAAGATAAGAGAATAAAGTTTTTTTTTATATGATGGCATACAACTTAAAAGCTTTAAGTATTAACTTGAGTTTTATAATACCTTGAATTCTCTGCTTTCTTTAATGCGAACTTGAACTTTATACGTTTCACCTAGTCTAGGTTTGCCAAGTAATGCAATTTTCTCATCTTCTGAAAGATCATCCCTATTTTCATTTATGTCTTGACCACTTCTTTCCCTCACATAATCTGAAAAAGGTTTAGAAATTGATAAGAAATAAAACCAATAAAAGTTTTACTTGCTTCATACTAATTTCAATCTGAAATTAGACTAGTTGATATCTTACATTTAACTAAAATTAGTATTGTTTAACTTAATTTTATAAAAAAGTTTAAATTACCTGAAATAAAACTTAATTAAACTGGAAATAAACTTGAACATTTAACTTAATTGAAATAAAAAGTTTCGTGTTGAGTTTGTACAATTAGATAGTAAATATGGCTTTATAAAGCACTTTCGCTAAAGAAAATAATAATAAAAAAACATCCCACAATTAAAGTGCTTTACACTTGAAGCGGAGCTTCAATTTTAAGTTACATATGCAGTCTTGCAGCGAAGAATCATCTGAGCTTTAGAACCGACAAATAGCTTAAATATTTTAAACTTAATAAACATTTTTCTTGCAAAATAGCCAACTTGGCGACATTTCTCCAACTTGGCGAACTTTTCCCGTCAAAATCAAAATTACCAAATTTAATGCCTTATTCTTATTTTTTTGCAACTTTTTACGAACCTAGATAATGCAGCATTGGGGTAAGTTTTAAATATTTAAAAATTAGACCACAACCGTTTTCTCAAAACTATAGCTTTTCTCCGTTTTGCGACATTTTCAGAATCAGCATGTGAGCGCTGGCTAAAGATAGGCTAAACTTGATTTAACAGTCATGCGTGACTGTTACAAACCAACAACAGTTATGAAAACAGTATATTATTTGCAAAAAAATATCATTTCATGAAATTGAAAAACAACCTTAAAATTATTCTATGTAACCTACTAACAGATAATTCCCATTTTAATTAATATCATGGCCTTTTTTTTATATAATCTGAAATGTTTTAGAAATCGATAAATAATAAAACAAATTAAAATATTTCTCTGCCTTTACATTAATCTATAATTTATATTAGAATAATTCATACTTTACACCTAAAGTTAGCATTATAATTTGCAACTGAAATATAGAAACTGAAAAAATTCCAAGTAAATAAAAAAACGATTTTGTTTAGTCAGCTTTTAGAGTTATTTCTTACACCTTCTGACAAATAATTCCTGTTTTAGTTAATATCTTATGTAAAATTATATGGTTAGGGTAAATAAAATATACTCTACCTAGCGAGATATACCATACAATTTTCATTCTAAAATTTCTGTAAAATAACCGGCAACATTCTATCGATCCAAACAACCGTGAAGTTCATGGTTAGGAACATTTTTTACCTTTGCGGTTTTTAAACTGATTACAACTAGCATGGTTTCTAAACCATAAATATGAAATTTAACTAAACTTTAGAGTTAGGTTATAGTAGGCTCTTCGTTAGGCAATGGGCATTGAAATTAGACTGTGGTTAGGATGCGTTTTGTCAAATGAACCGTAGAATGTGGTTTACTTTGTTTATTTGGTGGCGCCATCTGTCGTAAGCGATGGGAAATACCAGATTTTTGTGTGAAAGAGAGTATCATTTTCCAATAGTTTAAGGTCACCAATTGAGTAGTGCAGGACACTTCAAACTCATGACGTGTTGAAGGGAATGAAGGAATTAGTGTGGCGTCATCGCTAGGACTCGAACCTCCGTAATGTCGATTATGAAATCGACAAATTAGCCATTCTAGGTTAAAATATGCACCCATCTATGCAGAACTAACTTGCTTGATTAGGTGGGTCTAGTTGGTGCGATAAAATTCAGGTTTTTTAACAGTATTAGGTGAAAGGAGTTGTTAAATGGTTTTTATCACAGTTAACAGCTTGAATATCATATTTTTAATGATTATTTGACTGTTACGGTTGAATATGCTAAAATAACAAAATTCTATTTAACCATTTTTTCCGAGAAATATCTAACAGTGCATGCTGGTAATAGTGTCTATGAAAAAGAACCTATTTAGCAATTATAACATATAGAACAACACTAACTAATGTTAACCTACAAAGCAATTGTAACAATTATTAAACTATAGAGTATTGATAACAAACTTTGCAGATCATGTTGGTTTAAAGTTTTTAGCTATGTGGTCCCAGCATATTACGAAAATGCCTTTGTTTTTGACGAAACTGTTTCATAGTATATGTTCCGAGGAACATCTAGTCAAAGTGACGTTGATCACTTGCTGATCACTTCTATTGCTGATCACAGGCCGGTATTTCTTTTTTTTTTTTGTTATCTAGTTTCAATCGTCTAGTTTTCATTCTAGTTAGTTATCTCCCACAATGCACTGCGATGAGGTTTCGAGTTTAAGGAAGCATTTTTGGCACTTATTTGAGAGGTCGTGTTTCATCAAGATACTGCTGAATCGTCAAAAGTGAGACTTTTTTCTGAAAGTGCAAGATAATGCTCTGACCCACCTAAGATCACGTGGTCTGACACCACTAAACGTCTTTCAGAAATACGTTAAACGCATAGCTTATGAAAGTAATCCTCAATCAATTCTAAATCTAAAACCCGGGTTAATGCAGGTTATTGGTGAGCTAGTTTCAACTTCATCAAAATGTCATAGAATTTTTTAAGAAAAGACAAATTCATGGTATAATCTCCGGAGAGGAACTTCTGGCAGAAAAACATTCTGGAGTATAATTGCAATACTCTGTTCTTTAATTAGCAATTTAAGCTCGTGTAAGCAATAGGGCTTATTTATATTTCAATAATGCAGTTCAATTTTAAAGAACCTATATATAAAGAATGTGATAGCCACTTATTCTCCGAAAAAAAAACTCTTTTGAAACTTCGTATGGAACTATCTCAAGTATTGACATTGCTGAAGGCGATAGAGAAGAATGATGACTACACTCGCGACAGGAAAAAAAATCAAAATCGATTTTACTCCTGAAGTTTTAAAAAAAGTGTTGAACCAACTATTATTACTTTTCTAAAAATATCTTATAAGTGAAAAAGTAAGTGAATTATTTTTTTTTAATATTCTTATAGAGTTAAAAATAGTTCGATAATCACACATGGATTTCCTTTTTTTAAGTAAAAAAAAGTTCCCCAAATTTCTTTCTCTTGTATTGTCTCTTTTTTTATTTTTATTGATTGACAATTTGTCTTCGTATTTCAATATTTTCCTCAATTTATTAACGAATTTCTATCTCCTTTTTAGGTTTTTAAAGGTTGTAAAATAGTTCATAAAATTGGGAAATATTAATTATTATATTTTCAACAGTCAATTTAGAGTTTTAGTTAGTTTTAATTTAAAAATGCAATTATTTATTAGATTTTTAAAAAATGTTATAAAGAGTAAACATTGTTAGTTCATATCTATTATAAAAAGTGATATCAGTTCAAAAAAGGGAGTGCTATTTAAAGCTTTTGTTTTATAACTATTTGATTATAGTTAAAATTACAGTTTCAACACTTTAACGCATTAATCTGTTGAAGCCAGTAAATCTACGCAAAATTTGCATCGTTGAATGATTCAACATTCCTGATAAGTTGCACTACACATTTATCTTTTATTGCGCTACACATTACTAGGAATTCCACTGTGAAAAGATGGTTAAATGACAATTTATTAAATTGTTATTTTGCCATTTTCAGGTCACACAGTCAAATAACCGTAAAATGATGGTGTTCAAATTGTTTACTGTAAAAAAAGTCATTTATTCAGTATTTTCCTCTATCATTGCGAAGAAAACAGCCAGAATCTTATCCACACCAGCAACGATACAACTTGTAAAGCCACTTAGTTCCTTGCAGCTGGATACATAGTTTATCTGAGAGGTCTAATCTTTTAATCTCATGACTGATTTAGCAGGGGTTCCGAATTCCTGCAGTGATATCACAATATTCCCTTCACTACATGAGCATTTTAGCCCACTAGAATCCTCAATTGGTGATCCTGGAGTATAGGAATACGGAACTCTCTATCATGAATAGATAACAGCACCACAGGGGTGCATAACACATAAAAGCGGTAAATTGCAACGTTAGATGAACTCTCGGTACAATGCAACGCTCGATAAACTAATTAAACTAGATGTCCATTACTTAAAAAGCCTAACTTAATCTAACTTCACTGTCCAGTTAAATTTAATTTTTATGATTTTGAAGCTATGCTAGTTATAAGTAGTTACAAAACCGTACAATTTTGCATACGCGGTTTTTTAATAATGCCAGTTGTATGCGATTTCAAACCCACACAATTGAAGAATTTTTCCTAACCGCAAACTTTACAGTTAGTTACCATAAACTTTGCAGTAACTATAACCGTAAACTTTACAGTTTTAGACTGTGGTCGGATATTTTAACGTTATTTTAGAATGAAACAGCGTATAATCTCGATTTGTATTTCTGCTCTTATTTTGGTGTTGAGAGGATTCTATATTGTCTGAAAAGGTTTCAAATTTAATAAAAAACATTTCTTTTGTACGTTTACAGAAAAGTGAGCACATCAAGATTTTTTTGTTTATTAAAACAGATTTTAGTACTAGGAAGCAATATACAAGTTTTTTTAAATATTTTTGAATGGATATAAAATTTTAAAACTACAATTTTTATCTTAAATATGTTTCCAATATCTTTCAGTTGACAAGCGAAAAGCAGTGTTAGACATATAAAGTTTCTTTAAGTTTAATATATTTTTCATTAAGGAGGCTTTAGTAAGGTTCATATTTTTAGTGTTTACTTAAAAACTATTGAAAAATAGTTTTTAAGACAAATATTGACTTTTTATAACATATTTTATTGACAAAAAACTTGAAAATACTCATATTTTAGAACATAAAAAATGAGAAAAAATTACGTTAGTATATAGTTTTTTTTTAATAAATTTTACTTGAAATTAAATATGAATAAAGTTATAAATATCGTTCTGTTTATTAATTACATAAAAAACCACTTTTTAATGGATAGAAAATAAAAATTGCCTATGGTTCTATTAAATGAGATAATTAATATCGCTATTTTGTTTACTTGTAATAAATAATATCTTATTGATGCTATCAAATTTCTTTTGATCTTTTGCTTAGTGAAAACT